AAATAACTGCATGAAACTAAAGCTATTTTTTAAGGGAAAGGATAACCCCAACTTTACCTTCTCTGAACGTTTATAATAAATGCACTGCTGTTTGTTGGGTTTTTTAAAAGCTAAGCTTTAGTTTCGACCAAGAGGGTTGAAGTGATGCATTCTGTGTGCCATTTGTCAGCATTTCACACATACCAGTTCACTCATTCTTCTGTTCAGTGGCCTGCTAGGCATGTCTTCTTATGTGCATAGGGAACCATTCAGAATTTGTCTTTAGTTTTGATATTGTTGTCAGCTGCTGCTCCAGATTCTCTGATCTCTCATTTTCAAGTGTTCTTCTGTTGCATCCTTTGGCAGATGATGTTCTTGCCACCAGGTGTATCATATCCTTTCCACACATAGCTTGGATGCTCTCTGGCTGATCCATGGTGCCTTACTTGTTCTGACTTCTTTGTGCATGATGTGCTGACAGTATATTGCAGCTGTTGGCACAGAGTGTTTACAAAATGTAATTATAGGCTATAGGTTTTGGGTATGAGATTCATTGAGTCTTTTCTGCTCCATTTTGCTATTCCTCTTAGAAATCAATGGCTTGATTAACAGCCTGTATAGTTTCTGTATGTATGTTGGCCACTGTGCACATTCTGTCATCCTTACAGGATTCTTGCAGTTCCATTTGTGATCTTGTCCAAGCTGGGAAGGTCCTGACAAAAGCTTAAACTAAGCTATAAATGCTGTGACTCTTCCTGAGGAGATGGTGCTGAAGTGCAGTCCTGACCAGAAATAAAGCCTTGTGTTTGGCCACGGTGATGCAGTCGCTTAACAATATTCAGAAGCTTCACTTCTGTTTGGGTGTTTGGCTCTGCTGACCTTTCCCACAATTGCTAACTAGAAGATCTTCCTGGGTTTTTTCTACTCTTTCTTCCCCCAGAGTGCTGATGCTGCACTGAATGGACTGTCTTCCATTGATGGGAGTTAGCATGTCTTAAGGAAGTGGTAGCAGTGTGGCTGTTTTTAGGGATTCTCCAAATAGGGCAATGCACTGTCAGTAGCTCTCCACTGAGGGAAAGGCCTGTTCTTACTGTTTAATCCCTCTAGTGACTGTTATAGACCCCGGCTCCTCTTGGGTTGCACAGAGCTGTGGTGACCTACTTCATATCCAGGAGTTGACAGTGAGTAAGAATCAGCTGATCCACTTTTTTTGCTCATGCCTTTACCATACTATTAAGAATGTGTGTCACTTCTGACACTGCCCAACCCCCTCCTCCCAAAATGGTAAATTCTTCCTTACATCACCTTTGCAAAATGCAAGAGCATTGGAGGATCTCAGCCTGTTAGTCCTGTGTATCTTACCAGATCATTATTCTTTCTGGGATGTTCCTAAAGGCACTAGCTAACTCGAACACAAGAATCTGAATAGGGATGTTAGACTACCATTCCTACAGTCCTTGATTTGTTCAGAGAGGATTCCTTTCTGATGTAAAGTCTGTAATTAGATTACATCTAGCACCATGGATAAAGGATGTAGTGTTTCTTATCCTGCCCTTAGCAGGAGTACTGGAGTAGCTTTGAAATGTACTGTAAATAGCTTCCAGGGACATAGGATACATAGCAAAAAAAATATGGTAACACAAAGTCCAGAAGTCCTGCTCCTGCATGGACCACCTCAGTGTCCTCACTCTGAAATTATTTCTGCATATATGTCTAAAAATGAATGGTTGTTATGTCTTTGTATCAGATTTGGCTTGTTTTGCTACCCAGAGCTTGAGATGCTGTTAAAATTTTAGATTGTCAACCAAGTGAAGTTTAATCACTGTCAACTGTATTTCATCACAGAAATAAACTAAGCCTTGATCAGCCTGATTCTTCCTGCAATATGAGTATTAAATTAAATCCTTGGCTTCTTACACATTAGACTAGGCAAAGATTCTGAAGGTTGTGCTGGGGTTGGCAGTGAACATTATGTAAGGAATTTAGTTTGTAAATTGTGTTAGATTAACAAGAACCACTGTGATTTTTGTTTAAGTATGCTTCAAAATACACTCAAAATACACTCTTAATTTTATTATATTTTAAAACAATGCTGCTTGCCAATACTAGATGCTTTTTGCTGAAGGAGTACAGTGACCTTAGCCAACTGTTTTGCTTAAGTCATCTGTCTTGTTCCTGATTGCTTGTTCCTGTTGGATCTGCATGAAAGTAAAGATGTATTTGCAGGTCCATTTCTGTGCCTCACAGTTGCATATAATTGAAAGAATAGATATGCAAACAACCACAATGACTCTTACAAAACTTGATAGTGACATCAGTTTACTAGAATTACAGTCACTTGGTCTTTTTTTCAGCACAGACCATAGTTAAGCATAGAAAAAGGAGATAATCTGAGCACAGCTGTCTTAAATACACAAAACCTCTCGTTCAGACCTCTCTAAATGAGGACAGATGTAGGAGAGAAACAAGTTCTGGACAGGTTTGTTCTGAGGAATCTAATTTTCTCTTTAGACTGTTTTTCCTTTTATGAACTTGCATTTCAGTCTCCCATTTCTGCATCACTCTGCAGGCGTCCTGCTCCCGAAGGCACAGCTCTGATACAGAGAAGTAGGCTACCAACTATCCAGGACTTCAGGTGGAGAGTGGACGTAGCTATATCCACGAGGTATAAAAGAGAATCCTGCATGTCCCTGCAAATTTTTTTACCTAAGGTTAAACTGGCTTCTTGGGCTGCTTGAAAATGTTAAGGGTGTTAAAATGTATCTTGCTGTTAGGGACTGGGATGTAGCGTTAAATGGTAAGACACAAGTGGAATTTTCTGAACAGTGTAGAAGTCAATATACAGGTTACTGCTGTTAATGTGCACCTGGCAAGAGGCTGCTGCCTTCATCTTCCACTGATTATCCTTTTTTGCTCCTTATTTGTTTTGATCTCTGTGTTAGAAACATTTCACTCAAACTTTGAGTTTCTTTTTCAATATTTTAAAGCTTAATGGAGCTGATACAAATCCACAGGTCCTCAGAGATGATGGAATAAATTAGATGGATTGAGCCTCAAGCAGCCAGGCAAGCTCTCAGTTTCACTGCAGCAGGGGAGGGAAATCACCTATTCAGCTTCTCAAGTAGACTGTCATTTGTATGTTGCACATGTTAAAATGACTTTCCATCCCCTGTACAGTCTGCTGTAGTTTCTACAAAGAGAGGCTTCAGAACAACACCTCTACACTGCCATAGTTACACAATTGGTCATTGAACTACATCCTGTTTCTTTCATAAAACAGGAGTAAAGGCCTTCATGGTCATCCTCTCTGTGCCTGCAGTGAATAGCTTCCTGCCACCTGCCACAGCAGCAGCAGCTGGGGGATGGATCTCCGGCTAGAGTCAGAAGGAAACAGAAACCTGTTGTCTGTGCTGTTTTGGTCTGTGTTTAGTTCTAACCAAGATGGACCAAGATGAAAGAAATTAGAAGATGATCCAGTATTTGTTAGCAGTGTAAATTGTTAGCATGGGAGACTTCATGTTGCATTCATGAATACCTGTGTCTGGTGCAGTCTTCTGGCTACCATAGTTGAGAGGCCCATGGATAGTCAGGGATGGTCTTACTGAAATCAAGAAAAAACACTCCTAAGTAGAACTTGTAGTGGCCACAAACTCCCAGTTCAGGTGACTCTGATGGGCAGTGCTGTAAGCACCACACAGGTATCACTGTGCAGAAAAAAATCTATACCTATAAGAGAGCAGAATGCACAGATAAACATCCTCAGGCACAGTGCCTGCAAGCTGCAGGCAAATCCTATGACTTGTTTTCCAAACAACACATGAGCAATACATTATCCTTTTTTTATTTTCCTTCCTCTTATTTTCCTTTCCAGTTAACCTTCCCCCTGGGATTTGTTGTTTATCATCCAGCAACAGCCTCTGCAGAGAGGTATGGCTTCTGGCTGTAACGCCTGTCAGTACCTGAGCAGGCTTTGGCAACAGCAGTTGATGGAAGCTGCACAAGAATGACTCACTTCCCTTCTTTGGGTCATCAAATAAAATAACAACACACAAATTTAGGATGAAGTCTGGAAGAGCTTGATTTTCCCAAATGAGGTGGCAGTTGAAAGCATGGAAGGATGGCAAGGATTAATGCAACATGGTAAACTGCATAAAAAACCTGCATGGTTACTAGCAGAGCTTGGTGAGCTCTTATCCCTATCACAGTTCCACTAAAATGATTATGTAAAAATGAAGATGCTCCTAAACTTGCAGCTACTAAACTAGTTAAGAAATGTTTAGTCTCAATACTGAGGTTAAATTGGACAGGACTCATGTTCATGAGTTTCCAGCCAGACAGGTAAATGACTCTATGACTGAAATTACTCATGTTCTATGTAAAGCCTACGTGAACATCTAAAATTGTTAATTTGCAATGCTGTACTCACCACACTGCTGATGTCTACTGCTGTAACACTAATAATGTAAATAATTGCAGTTCACTGGCCCGAGCACTTCAACCATCCATTCTAATGATGATGAAGCTTTCAGACGGGACAGCTCATCGCTTTGAAGTAAGCCTGATTGCCATAATAAATAAAAAAAGAAACCACTTGAAGTTTTATTTAGAAGGTTGAATTACTATTTAAAATACTAAAGCTTTTTGTAAACAATGCATTATCATTGGTTGGTTTGCTTTGGAATCCTTTGTGTTCAGTGTGCATACAATATATAACAAAATGCCAACAAAAATCATCTCATACCTTTTTCCTACACATGTTCTGCTGAAATTTAACTTGTTAGAAGAATATTAATTACTGAGAAGGACTTGCATAATACCTGGTTTGGTTAAAAATTATGGGGTGGTTATCAGCTGTAACCTTCAAACCTGATGGTGGTTCTTGAGGGCAGGAAAATTACTGGGGTGGTTTATATAACATATGATGCACTTCTAGACCTCCTCCATTTGGCAGAGATTGGTAACATTCTCTTCTGTGGCAGAGGTAGTTTTATTCTTTCTTCTCAGTACAGTTCTTGCTGCTAGAAAGCAAATAAAACGCTCTTTGTTTCTTACCTCAGAGTTAGTCAGTGGCAGTATTTATGACACTGTACCTAAAGGCTTGCCAGAAGATGGCATAAACTCTTCCATAATTTGAACCTTTGAAAAGGAATGCTATTTGTTCTATAAATAACATGGTGGTGCATACAGGAATTCAGTGCACAGCAGGCATTGTTACATTTGAACTCTGTACAGGTTTTGGCGTCAGTTCCTGGGTTAGTAGTAGTCTGGAAGGAGCACCAAAGCCCTGTGGGTTGAAAGGGGTGGAGTGATTTTACTGTTAGAATGTTTTGCAAGAAAGCAGCTGTTGAGAAAGGCACAAATTCTGTGCTACATTGCAAGATGTTGAGGGTCTCACAACACAGGAGATCAAATTTACTCCCCTGGGCAGTCCAGCTCAGAGCATCCAAAATGCTCTATATGAGGTCTTCCATGGAACTTAAATGATGCCATGGACTTCAGGTTAACCCTTTACAATAGGGTAGGTTTCACTTGTGAGAATAAAACTAGTATATATTCTTTACTGCTTAGATTTGGAGCTTTTTATGCATTTCTGATGTATGTGGAAAATGCAAATCAGATGTCGGATTCCTCTCACATAATTGATACCTGTGCTACAGTGGGCAGAAGGATGACAAGGGTTTATGTCAAAAGAACTGCTGTCTTCAGTGTAGACAAAGGAGTAAATTAGGTAGTGCTCTGCAGAGCAACCTGGGACCAGCTAGACTGCAGTGGGCACTCATGTAAGCACATGTTTGTGCCCTGCACTAATGTTAGTCTGTGTCACCCAGTCTGTGCCTGCAGTGGATCTCTCTATTAACAGAAAACAAATTTCCATCCATTTGGCTTCTTGGGCTTCAAATGGTAAAGGAGAGTCCATTAGTCTCCTGCACCGTTGATGATGTTTATGTTTAATCAAAGTGTTTTGCCTTCCACATATAGACAGTGCCTGGTGCCCTTTGCTCTTGACGTTGCTGCCAAGTCTCTTGCCTCAAGTCTCAATTCCTTTCTCTTGCAAGCCTGGACAAGCAGAATATTTGGAATTTGTTGCTTGAGAGTTCTGTAGGCTCCACAACATTTCACACGTGTTTGTCTTTCCTTCCCATCCATGACTCTTCCTTCACTACAGCAGCCCTCAGTGTACATCCTGGAGTGCTTCCTTTCTCACATCAGGCAGCACAGAAAGTACAGAAAATGTGCCATGTAGCCATTATTTCTACTTTTTCCCACTCTCCTTTTCCACACAGATTTAGTTGAATTAACTGAATTTTATTAACCTCAAATCCTTTGTATTAAGTGTGAAAAAAAAAGTATTTCAGGAGAGATTTGGCTGACACTGTGGAATGTTCCCGATCCACAGCATGCCCTACCTGAAGTCCCTGAGATGTCTTGTGTTTTCAAACCTGAATGTTCTGTTTCAGGTGCCAGTTGCGAAGTTTCAAGAACTGAGATACAATGTTGCCCTTATACTGAAGGAAATGAATGACTTGGAGAAGAGGAGCATCCTGAAGATCCAAGACTGAATTACTGATTGGGAGTTTATGGAAGAGATCTGAACCCCTCAGCGTGTTCTGCGAATGGCAGAGCAGGGGACCATCACCATTTTGCCTGTATGAACTCCAATTATGATGTCTGCTGTAAATATTCTTCTCAATTCAAGTATTAAAAGCACAAACTCTTTTTGTAAGACTTAAGAAAACCAAAAATGCGTCTATGAAAAAGTATAATGCTGTTTGTGAGCGTTTTTGCATGATTCATCAAAACATTTTTTAAATAACTGTCTTAATAGATGGAAGAGTCATTTATTTCTGATTATGATTCATCACTAATTATTTTTGCAAGTCTGCTACCGGAAGCCCCATCAGTGTGTGTGTATCATAAGAAAGCTCTGCAATAGTTCAAATTAAAAACAAAATGACAAACCCACCCCTGCCTTCTAGTGTGACAAATGTGATCCTGAGTTGTGCATAAGTAACATTGTTGTCTGGCTTCTCACGAAGTGACTAAGGTATAGCTACGGATATTTAAAGGCTAATTTGGAAGAAAAGTGGAAATCTGTGCTTCAAGAGAGAAGTATCAGCTGATCTTCCAGGACTAATTCCATGGAATTACAGAAGTGAAAGCTGCAATCTAAGTCTTATCTGGTTGATCAGAATGGGCTAAGTAGCAGCAATCTCACGGGTTTCTAACTGGAAATGTCTGCCTCTTGTTTCATGTCTGGCCTATATGCTTGATTGAATGAAATCAGCTGACGTGACTAGGCAGAAACCTCTGGCCCTGCAGTGATAGCAAGCAGTGGGAGGCAGTAATCTTGTAGCCCACTACAGCTATAGACCCATTAATCACGCAGCTCAGACTCCAGGATGAAGAGGCTGCCTACAGCCTCTGGGATGGAAGTCATAGGTATGACGATATCCAAGCCCCCAGGTCAAGAAAGCAGTTAAGCATAGGCTGAAGTTCCAGGTTGTTCAGGTGGTTGGACTAGATGGTCAATGTGGGTTCCTCCTGTTAAACTGAAATAGTCTAAGTTAGTCCTTTGCCCCATGAGTTAATCTTGGGAAGAATCCCTTAACTTGAAGCATATGTTGAAGTCTCATTTAAGCGCTGTGGGACCACAAGTATGTCCCTTAGAGTTTTGCCAAGAAGGGATGCATTCCTCAATCCTTGCCTGAATGAGTTTTCCCCAGTAGCAAAGATAGGGAGGCTGTGACAAATGGCCCAAAGAGAGCACAGGCTGTGGGCCCTAGAACTGTAGGGTTTATCTGGCTGTCAGATGTACTTTAGAAAGCACATGCCACTGCCATTGTTAAGCATTGGCTTATCCTAGCTAATTGCAGGGTTTCTTTCTCAGTAGTGCTGCCCATACTTCTCTCACATTTTGTGATTGTAGAACTTGCCTTTACCTTCCTCACTCCCCACAGAAAACTACTGAAACTTAAATTGTGGATTCAGGAGGCCTTTTACACTCCCACAGTTGTTTGTGTAGGAAAGGATGACTTGGCTTTTGGATTTTAAAAATCACACCAAGCATGATAAGACTTATTTGTCATACTTTTTAAGATGAGACTTCTTTGAAATCAGTCCATACCAATCTATAGATAGCTAAATAGCTGTGGTCCAGAAAGCTTTTAAAACCTGTGCAAGAATGTGTCCTGTACTTTCAAACAAACCATCAGCCAGGATTTCAAACTATTCAAAAGCTGTATGTTCTGTTAGCATGGAAAACACATAATCACTGGATGATTATATGCAGGTGCTTTTATTGAAGAGCTCTGGGAATCAGGGGTACAGACAAACCCAAATCTGACTCCAACATGGATTTGAGATGGACACATTTTTATACCCTTTCTTTACATAGTTGTTGTATAATCATACGTTAATCATTACCTTGCTATTGTTCTATTGTGTGTATATTGGTTTCACCCAAGCATGAGTTTGAGGTTCATTCTTAATTGTTGTATTTCACCCAAGCATGGGTTCGAGGTTCTTTTCCCGTAATTATTGTATAATTATCTATTGTACAGGTGGGTACATACAAGTAGGTTCACATCGTTCTACTAAGACAATGCTCATTCTTGTCACTAAGGCCTACTTTAGCTACCACAATTTTAGAAACATTTTACCCCATGTTATCAGTTCCATTTGCTTTGTAGGAGACTCATCAAAAACTTCCAGCACTGATCCACACTGTATCTTAGCTACTGTGTTCAGGGCACACCAAAGCACATAAAGAATTAGCTCCTGTGACTTCAAGTGGACTGGAGATTGCATTAATTACTCTGTGAAGCTTGTTCATCTTCTTTCTGGAGTTCCACTACCACAAGCTGTGAAACAAAGCATACATCCTTATGTTCCTTGTTACAGCCTTTCACTTCTGAATGCTTAGGGTTACATGGTTTCAAATTGGAAAGGTAACTCATCTGACCCTAAGTGAATTCTTTTCAGACAAACTGAACAATATAAACGTAAACGTAAAATGACCCGTTGCTCAAGGCATTTGCAAAGTAATTTTTTACTGGTCAGAGTAGAAGAATCCTTTCTAGACAGAATATATTCATTTAGTTGTTATGTACCAGCAATTGCTGATGTTCTCCAGAAATGGAAAGGCTTCCTGCCTGGGTTCCTCATGTTCCCTGGACCACTTAGACTCCAGTTTGTCTTGCCACACACATCAAGCAGGAGTTTACGGTAATTGGAGGTTTACCGTGCTGAGGGGTACTTGAACACTTGGGATTTTCATTCCTCTGTACTTAAGAGTGAATTTGGGCTTTCCTTCTGACAGATTAGTTTTCCAGTAAAACAGCAGTTGTCACCGAAATGGCTAGTGGGAGTGCGTAGTGGATAGTTCCTCAGCTCTGATCAAATATGAGTAATTCAAATTACTGTTAGGTTTCTCAGACCTTCATGGTGATTTATGCGTTCAGTATTTTTTCAATGCTGAAATATCTCCTTCCTTCACGATTAAAATATTCTGGAATTTGAATTCCACTTGATTCCTGACCGTAGGCTTTTCTTTTCAATACAGAAGTAACCTTTTAAGAATCTGGATGTGGCTGAGCAGAAATTTTACCCAAGTGGCTCTAGGTTTGGTTACACTTCAAGGACACACTGTGAATCCTCCTTCCAGTATCATGCAGTGAAAGATACAACCCGAGTGGGATGTTCGCTTTGTTGTTCCTGAAGTCTTGTCAAGCTGATCACTAGTCAGTCATCAATTAGGCAGGCAGGGGTTGCGTGGGAAGGGCACTGAGACTTTTCTTATTACACAGTTCACGGACCAGTAGGTAACAAGGACCTTTCACAGGCTCTGTTGGTATTTTTCCCTGAAAAACAAACCCACATGAACACATTGCTCTCTGTCGGTGCCATGCATTGATTTAAACTGGATAACGCATTTGTGTCTGAATTCTAGAGATCTTCTAACCATGGCATATGAACATAAATTTCTCCTCTATATTTTTTCTTTCATTTTCTTTATAGTATATGGAACATCATGCCTTTTCTTTCAAGATCAAAGTGTCAAAATATATTTAAAATAGAACTTGGACTTAATTGTTTTTGCAATGTAAATCATGTGTGTACGATAGCAAAGACACCCAGTATGTGCAGGGGTAGTCACAGTAGGCAGAATGCAGAAGTAAAGATAGTTGCCAGAAGTCATTCAGAGATTCAGTGGCAAAACAACAGAACTCACATGTCTTCCCTTCCTGTTCCCTATCCATAAGTTAGTGCAGCTTCCTGACATAATGGTCAGACTTCCCGCTTGGTGTTTTTTTTAATTGCCTCAACTGCATGGGCCATCAGTCCAAATCTGTTCTTGCCTATGGACTGTTACAGTGTGTGCAGAGCACTTGGAAATAAAAAGCCATCTCTGCCTCTTTTTGTGATGTGACTTTTCACATCCCTCCTTCCAGCAGAGAAGGAGCTTTGTCAGCTTGACTGGTGGGTCGGAATTTCACACTTGGGTTAGTTGTGTTTAAGGGGGAAAGAAACAGGTTTGTTGGTGGCTTTTGTGGTCTCAGAGCTTGATGCAGTTTATAGCTCCAGAAGAAGGCTGAAGAATGTAGTCATGCTCTCAATACTGCCTGTTATGCCAGCCATTAACTGCTGGAAGAAGATCAGTATTGTGCTCATTGTCATTAAAAGGGAGAAATTAACCTCCCTTTGTAGAAACATCATACAAGGGAGATGTGTTTTTGCAGAGTGAGTCACCTCCTCACTTTAACTTCTTCTAAGTGAAGGATAAATCCGTTCTTGATCTCATGAACAATGCAGGTAGGCAGGGGGGTGCTTTTTTCCCATTTTCTTTCTTTTTGCTTTCTAATCAAGTACACCTCATGACCTACTGCTGCTCCAAATCCATGAATATATGTATGAATGTATGAAAACTCCATGCTTTCAGGACGCGTTATATAAAAACACCCCAGCATATCTAGATTATGTATGTTCAATTCACACAGCTGCTTTTGCTAAAAAAGTCTTTGCAGAGCCAGGCCTGATGTCAGAATCAAATATTTTGTAGTTGTTTGACTTGTAATGAACAGTAAATTAGAATCTTGGCTTTAAAATATTTTGCCAGTAGTGACTGTACAGCTCACTCTGTACCTGTCACACCCCACCAAGTACTAACATTTACCAAACACCACACGTACCAGGAACTAGCAGAGACAGAGCCAGCTGGTTTCTCCCCTAAGAAGTCACAGAGCTGTTGCCCATAGGCCATCTGTGATAAGGTCTTAACTGTTTTCTGGCTTTGGATAAAGGTCTGTGCTCTGAACCCTCCCAAGCGCACAGCTTCCACCACGGGAGTAGTTCATAAGCACAGCTGCCCTTTTCCCTTGAAACGTCTCAGCCACGTCCCTGCTGGTAGAAGAGAATTCCCAGAAGTGCATTTCACGGTGCTTTTTTGAGCCTCCTTTCAGTCCAGAGCGATCAGACTGTCAGCTAGCCCTGCAGATGCTTTCATATGTTGTAAATAGGAACTGTGGAAGTTCCTTTCAGAGCACAAATGCTGATTACATTTTCGATGATAATCTATTCCCACTCCCTATTGTGAATGCATGTGCTGCTCAAAACCCTCCCTTTATACCATGACTTATCTCTTTAAGTGTCTGCTATGTAACTATGTAAATACTGGTGGCGTTTCCCTGATAGAGAGATTGTCACTGCATTGCTACTGGTAACCAGTGGTTATGTCACTTTCTCTCGCTTGAATAGGCTTTGACTCATAGTGGTTTTCAGGACAATGGTTATAAAATAACACACTGAGGGGTTGCCGAGACTATAGTTTTGCACTAGAGACAACTGCCGACCTCAAGGCTACAAGAAAGCATTTTTCTTGTTTCTTTTTTTTCTTAAGGTTTTTTTTTCTTTTACAGCATGAGACTTTCTTGCATAGAAGTTTGGAAACCAAGAAGTCTATGTTA